CTCTCTCTCTCTCTCTCTCTCTCTCTCTCTCTCTCTCTCTCTCTATCTCTCTCTTTCTCTTGAATCATTTATCATTCCTTTTATCTATTCAATATATATATGATTGATTGACCAATCCAACCTACAACCTGATCGTATATCCTTTACTACTTGAACGTGTGTTTATCTGTATTATATCATCCAAATAATGTTCATTCCATCCTCATATCATATGTCCATCGAATCCAAAATTTAAATTCCACATTGTTTTTTATCCTGAATTTCCAACGAATATATTAACCAATTGTATCCAAATTTTTTTGAAAAAAAAACTTTGTTCATATCAAAAAAAATATATATAGCTATTGTAACTGTTGTTATAGTTCATATTCCAGGGATACAAATGATGATGATGATTTGGAAAAATCGACCCAGTAATAAAATAACTACGCAAAATGAAAATATAAATCAAACCGACTCGAACAACAATCCTTTTTTTTCTCGATCTCTAACGATAAATTTATGTTATAATTTTTCCAACTTTAATTTAATTTTCATTCTATTTTTTTCTTCTTTTTTTAATGTTGTTATCTGTTCTGTATATAATGTTGGCCGATAATTTTCCTGTGTGATAACTAATCTCTTTGATTAAATTTTTGTTTTTTTTTTGTAATTCATTTTTGTTTGATCTGCCTCTATAATCATAATTTGTTAATAATTTTTATCTGTATACAAAAAACAAAAAATTTAAACAGAACTCGTGTGTGATAACCAAAAAAAAGAAAAACGTGAATCTTTTTTTATAAAAATGATTGCAAAGATTTTTTTTGAACATAAATTAATCGCCGTGAATGTTTTGTACAAAGCCGAAGACCACTATTCAACATTAATTCAATCAAATTTTTTTTCTTTGTTTATTTCGTTAAAATTTTTTTCCAATTTGAAATTGTTTCAAATGATTTTTTTTTTGTTTGTTTGTAATAAAATGTTTTATATTTGGTGAGAAAGACCAATCACATTTGAAAAATTCAATACATTATTTTATTTTTTTGTAAAGAAAATTTATCAATCATTTTTGATTCGTTGAACAATTGATGAATTAGATAGACCACCATCTTTGATGGTTACAGATTCATCTTCAATAACTTTATTGGGAAAAGTTGTCATCAATACAAATTGTGATGCGCCGTATTCTGGACGAGCCAAACAAATATATTGACGTAATTCTGATATCAGACGATCGGTATTAATCTGTGGAACGAGTCTGTTTTTCAATGAAAAAATAATAATTTTCATTTTGTTTAAGTTAGAATAATAAAACCATACCTTGATCCGTCAGCCAATCTGATTTGTACTCGTGTATGTGGCTGTGAGCTATCGAATCGTAAATATGCATTAGCCGATTCTAAAGCTTGTTCTCGAGAAACTGGATCTGATGTTGCAAATTGGCTAACTTGTGATATTATTTCACTTGCCGGTGTTCCTAAACGTTGTCCTTCCCCGGTAAATGGTTTAGCTGGTTTTTTCGGAGGTGGTTGATATTCTTCAGTACGATGATCTTCCATTTTTAGATGAACTTCTGATCTTCCTCCACGTGATAATTCACGAGGAATTTGACCACTACGAATGGATGCTAAAAATTCAGCATTGGATGGATCTTGATATGATCGAAGTGGACCATCATCAATACTGAATCCATCACGCCATAATTTCAATGTTGTATCACGATTCGAATCATCTGAATCGTCAGAATGAGCAGCTGATTGGCGGCTAGTAGATGAACCGCCGAAAATTTTACGAGAAATTTCAGTAGCTGATCCAAGTGTAGCACCAATACCACTGAATATTGATTTACCTGGTTTTTTACTCGCATTTAATTCCTCTTCTGAAATAGCGTGTTCACGAGCTTGTTTAAACATTTCTGAAACAATATTATCGGGATCACGATTCGATTTCTGTGGTCCTAATACTTGTTGACCAGAATGTTCGGAACCACCGGCATAAAATGCCTGACCACCAGGATCACTATCATCTCTGATTGATGACAATGTTGCAATATTCGAATCACGAGATGTATTCGGTTTTTGAACCGGTTTATTTGAATTGGAATCGTCATCCGACATATCTGGTGTGATGTCTATAGTTTCGATTTCTTGTTCGGAATTTGAAGTATCCAATTGTTGTTGCGGTTGTATGATATCTTCACTATTTTCATAAAATTGTTGAACTGCAAGCTATGAAACAAAAATTTTCAATTAACAATCACAATCGATTTGATGAAAAGTAATACTTCGAAATTATAATTAGCAGATTCCAGGAAAAATTTTGCCTGCTGTTGGTCGACGCCTATGAGAGGGAGAGAAATGAATAAAAGAAAATTACAGTTGGCGAATTATTAAATTATCGAATTCGAAATTCTTGTTCAACAAACCAGTCAATTTGATAAAAGATTCGCAGATTTTCTCCTGTTCGGCACCTTCTAATTCCATTAAAATGTATTGAATATGATTTGTAAATCTTCTTTGATGTTAAATTTAGTACATTAATGAAATTATGATGAAATTATAAAAAAAAATTCAAAAATCAAGAAAACTCAACAATTCTTTTGCAAGTCATCAGAGTGGATATTTTAACATTATCAACATGCTATTGTCGAAATATACTTGAAAGATGGCAAGGCCATCTAGTGAATTCTACTGTCATTGTTCATTTGGTCATTTTAAAAGGTAAAGGTTCAAGGTATTTGTTCAAAAAAATAACCAGATTTAAATTGATCGCTAAAACGCGAAATAAAGCAAAAAATAAACTTTTTATTATGAAAAATCTAAATATCTATAGATATTTTTTTTATGATTATAAATTCTTTGAAAATAATTTTTGTTTTTAAAAAACATGAAATTATCACATAAAACATATGGAAAAATCACAAATATTGTTTTGATAAATTGAATAAGTGATAGTAGATTAGATAGATATGGTGGTGGAAAAAAATGAGATCTTGAGTAGAAATATTGTTTGTTTGTTTTGTTTGTTCATTATATTTGTTCAATCAATCAATAAAATATTTTTGTTCAGAAGTTTGTAGATAAATTTTTTTCGATACAAGTGGTGATGATGTTTTTTTCAAAATACTTCTCAATTGTCCTTCATTACTCATTGATGATAATGATTGTCTTGATTCTACTTCATGTATAGTGGCAGGTGATTGATTTGAAATAAAATTATTTGCCGTATGTATTTCACGTATTACACAGGAATTTGATCGTAAAATTATTTTATGTTCACGTTCAAATATTTTTTCCAATGATTCAGCAATTCGTTTAATCTGAATTCAAAGAAACAAAAAAAAAATTTCAATTTTAACAAAATTTTCAAATTCTATTTGAAAATGTTACAAACCTGTCCAAAATAACTTTCACATTCATTACTTAATAGATTAAGATTATCTAATTCGGTTTTGATAACCGATAGATTCCATAAAAGATTTTCAACAATTTTTTCATTTTTCTTATGTTTTGAATATTTGAGCAATACAGTTGGTGATGTAACATTATTGAACGGTGTTGGTGATTGATCATTATTATTGGACAATAAACTTGATGATGATGTTTTTGTACTATGATTATTACCACGACATTTATCATCAATATCGAATGTTATTGTTTCTTGTTGTTGTTGATGTAATTCATTTGTTGATTGTGTTTTTGTTGTCAACGATGATGATGATGAATCAAGAAAAAATCGAAGCATTTGATATGAATCATTTGAATTTGTTGTATTACCTTCAAATTGATAACTAACATTGGAAAATTTTTCAAATAAATCCGATAACTATAAATTAATAGAAGATAATAAAAGTAATTAAAAACTTGTTAAAATTATCATCGTTATTTACTTACAGATGATATATAATTTTTTGATTGATCAATAGCTTTGAATGATTCATTAAGACAACGATCCAATATTGTCATAGTACGATTTAAACGTGTAGTTAATTCACCGCATACCTGTACACATGGATACTGAATAAATAAAAACATTCGATTAGCATATATGGTAATGAAAATTTTTGTTGTTCCTTTATTTGTCACTTACACCTAATTCAGATGTTACAATTTTAAATCCAATTACCGTTGGACAAGTAGCAAGTCTTAAGGTAATTATTCGAAGACATTGTGCCATATTAGCACTTTCTGGTAATGAACATTCATCACATAATTCAAGATAAACTTTTTCAACATTTTTTCGTATTTGTGATGCTTCATTTACCATTGCGAATACCGTTTTCAATTGTTCATCTAAATGTTTTACACCCATTTGTTTAACATCATGATTATTTTTCTGTGACCAACTTTTTTTCCTTCGTAATCGTTGTTTTGATCCATATCTTCGTGTTAATGCAATTTTTACAAATAAACTTGTATTTGGTATAATTTCATTATTCATATTCAATAATTTGATATGTTTATAACCAGATTCTAAACATGATACCGGTATTGTTAATTGTCCAATAAAATCATCATTAATATAATCATCATCTAATACTAAAAATCTAATCATTGTCAATTCAGGAAGACAAACATTAAATTCAAAACTTTCATCAAAAATAGGATTATGTCCATCATTCGATATGGTTGATGTACGATATTCGGCACAATCAATTGTAGTACCAAGACATTGTACAATAATATATGGATCAATTGAATTGGCTTTCATTGATGCTCCTTTAGGTCTAGGTAATTGTTGACCGCTTATAATTTTGATACGAATATTCAATGGATCAACAGCTTAAAATATGGTGAATGAATGAATGGTTAAAATTTTATTAATCGTCAAATAAAAATATAGAATACCTGATGTGATCGCATCTTTTCTTCGTAAATTAAATGTTGAATATTTTTCCCTTAAATATGTTGGTTTCAATACATAACCACAGCAACCATTTTGGCTAAACCAACCACGATATATATTCATAATTTGACCATTAGTCTAATATAATAACAGCCAATATTCCCAAAAGAAAAACAGAAATTACATTTCATCAACAACATAAACAGAAAAGAAGAAGAAAATTTTATTGACTACATGCCTGATAATTCATTGATATGAGCTGCACGCCACAATTCCAGAATTCAAATGGATCTAAATTACTTGAATCAATTCGACTTATATCGGGTGTTATTTGTGTCATAAAATGTTTATTACGTTGAGTTAATTCTTCAACATTTTGTTGAGCAATTTTAATGGCTAATGATTCATTCAAATGAATCACTTGAAAAAGATAGATAAAATAGAAAATTATTGACCATTTTCGAATGGAAGGAGGGGAGAGGGAGGTAAGCTTACAATTTGGATTATCAAAATTTGACCAATCATCAGTACGAATCATTGAAATTATTTCAGAAAGTTCTTGACAAATAGCAATACGTTTACGAAATTCAAAATTTCTAAAATTATTATTTTCTTCTTCTTCATCACTAACTTCTTCAATCGTTAGATTTTTATTGGAAATTTTTTTACCCTTATCAGTGAGAAAAAGTTAAAACATTTTCAATAAAAAAAAAAAATTCCAATAAAACTGAATCGAATAGAAAAACATACCGAAATGATTATTTTATGCATCAATTTTTCTGGAGTTATTTTGGACCAAATATTTGTTGAACAACATTGTTCACTAATATTATTCAAATGTTTTTCCGATGATGATATAAACGATGCATTTTGTTGCATTTCATTTGAATAATCATCCGATGAATTGGATGAAAGCGACATGGTTTCCATTTTAAATTTTATCATTTCATTATCCATTGAAATTTCATTTGTTGTTGGTAATATAAATAAATAATCACCGAGAATTTTTCGAAATAAACGTGCCACTTCTTTCTGTACGTTTAACGAGCAATGATTTTCCAGATGAATAATCATTGGATAACTTTTTTTTGTTGTTGTACCATTTGAAAATGTAGAATTTTCATTTAAAAAAAAGGAAAAAAAAATTAAAAAAAAAAATATATTTATTGAACAAATGAAAGAAATGGAATGCCAATAACAAAAACAACAAAAACGATAATGCAATACATACGGTGAGCTTATGAAAGCCATTTCTTTTATGGTAGTCAGAACATCTATTAATGGAATTTTGCTTGTTAAAGTATTTCGATGAAAAACTAATGGACATTCTGGACCATCATGTACATCGATTTTAACACAACGGCATCCTATCATTATTATTATTATTTTGAATGCAAAACGGTAATATAACCTGGATCTCGGTAAAAAAAATCAAATAACTTACCTGATGATAATACTTTTGCGTATCCTTCACAACTAGATGGTCCTTTAACTTGATCTTCAATCAGATATCTACGATGAAAAAAAAATTTCATTATTAAAACGTTAATGGTTAGTTGGTTAGTTTTTTTTTTGTTGAAATACATACGTATTATATGATGATGAGATAAAATAATCGATAAATGGATGATTCATATTATGTGAAATTTGTTTTGGTGCTAAACCAAGTATATCACATGCATCGGACATTAAAAATTGTGTAAAACCATCGATTAATAATTGTTTTTTATGGCGAGCTTGATCACTTGGTTCAAAACGTTCGATAAGATTTTGACAAAATTCTAATGATGTTCCTTGTATACTTTGTTCACCTTCTAAAAATAGCTGTAATTCTTCAACTGTCATATAATCTCGTCCACAATAACTATATCACGGTGAAATTTATTAATGTTTATAAGAGAGAGAGAGAAAGAGAAAAAAAAAATTGAAAAAAAATGAAAATTAATAACCAAAGCAAAGCAAACTTGGATGATTTATTATGAAATATGGGCCGGAATATTATTCAGTAATGATGATGATGATGATGATAGTGGATGGTAAAATGACAAATGTATAGTTTTACTTCTTTTTTTTTTATGTTGCAACTGCAACATGATACTATCGACGACTATTATTATTATTATGATTTTCATTTTCATTTTCATTCTTTTGGTTGTCCAAACTTTCATTTTTATTTATTATCCTGGTTGACAAAAAGATTGCATTTTTTCTACTTTTCATTTACTTTGCTTTACTTTTTGGTTGAAAACAGATTTTTGTTGAAAGTATGTACCTCATCATAAATTTGATCAAGTGTGTGTGGTCGGGAATGACCATGAAAGAAGAAAAAAAAATCATTGAAACACTTACCGAACAAGAATAAAATAGATATCCGGTCTTGTTGCTGTTTGTGTAAATAGACTAATGAATGCATGTTTCGATATACAACCACGTTGTTCACCATTTTTTTTATTCATTTCAAATTCAACAATTTTCTGTTTTAAACTATCAATACAAAGACGTTCATTTAATTTTTTAAGTAATGCTATTGTTTCTAATTCATCAAGCATTCCTTTATGATCATAATCAGCTTCATCAAATACATCTAATAACCATTTTTCACGCATTTTTTCTCTTCCTTCCAACGAATCTGGAGCTATAATAAATTGAATGGGAAAAAAACATTTTTTCAAAAAAAAACCATGAACAAATCATAAAATGTATAGAGAAAAATGATCGAAGAATAATAAACTTCATTAGGGAAAAAAAGCTTGCTTTTTCTTTTTTTGCTTGAAGCAACATTATTGGATTGGAAACAGCAGTACACAACAGTATTGGAAAAATACACAAATACTTTTTTGAAAATGTTTTTTCATCGTAATGAAATTATCAAAATTAAAAATCGTTGGCAAAATAAACATTATTTTTTTTCTATCCAATGTATATATCAAAATCCAAATGAATTTAATTGAAAAGTTTAGTTTTTTGGCCTGACAAAAATAATCAATTTACAATAGAAAATATATATAAGCTTCTAATAGGTAAATTTAGATAAAAGTTTTTTTTGGTTTTGTTCAGGACAGGTTACTTTTACTACATCCATGGCAGCAGGTATGTTTTCGAATCGAAAAATAACTAATTTAGAAACAAAATGAGTAAATTAACAATGGCAAACATCTTTTGGCCTAATTTATAAGTTTAAAATAAACAAAACAAAACAAAAAAAACTAAATTTTTGACTAAAATAAAATTGAATTTACATTTGAAATTGAAGAAAAATAAAGAATTGTATTCAATTATGTCTGCATCATGAATTTTTGTTTTGGATTCTTTCTTTCTTTCATACAAACTTTTGTTCCTTCAATTAGAAAAATATGAAAGTTTACACAATACAATATTGGCATGGAATTAAGTTTTTTTTTTACTCCAAAAGTTTTGCAAAAATAAATGATTACATACATCTTATAAGGCCAATTAGAAAATTTAATCCAGTAACCCAAATATTTGCTTCAGTAGATGATAATGCAATCAAATCAATTGTTTCAAAATCATCACCATAAATGATTGAAAATGTACAATCTTCTTTATATGTTCCAGTTATTTCAGAATTTTTTAATACATCAGTATTTTTTCCACGACGTACTTCACGAATACTTTTGATTGGTACTGTTTTGTTAACAAACGAAAAAAAAGAAAAGAAAAAAAAAGTATAAAATTAACATTTTGTTTTCAATTAATAATAATGATCATTAGTCAATTTTTTTTTCTTTTTCTTTTTCCTTCCTTTTATTCAAACATACATTTTGCTTTGGATGTTTTTTTTGTCGATGGTGACCAACGTATAATACTTAAATCTTCATCCAATGAATAGAATCGTCTATATTGTCGCATACTAGCTTTGACTTTGATCAATGTTGTACCATTAATCATGTTTTGTAGACAATCAATTGCTAATTAGTATAAAAATAGATAAATGAAACAAGAAAATTTATATTTAAAAAAAAACCAGAAATAACCATAGTAATGAAACCGAATTAAACATACAATAATCCGATCATTCATTCATTAACAGATTTTTTCTTTGGACAAAAAAAAACAGTACAGTAACGGAATTTTTTTTTTTTTGCTTTTTTTTCCTGTATAACAAAACCTTTGCTAAGTACAAAATGAAAATATTGATTTGTATATGAATGTGAAAGTTTGTTTTTTCTCCTCTCTATTCTTGTACAATGATACTATCTCTAATGGAAACAAGAGAAACGAAAACAAACAAAATCCGATTACATTGATCGGACATTTGCTCGAAAACAATGAGTCCAGATTTTTATTTTTTTTCGATCCGAAATGCAATTTACCCAAAAACCAAACATAACATAGAAAAAAAAGAAGATCGAATAATAATCGAATTCTACAATGGGATTTGATCTTGATATTTTTTTTTTTTTTTGATCAATATCATATATCCTGTTTACAATTATCTAAATGGTTACTAAAAGAATTAAATAATAAACAGAAGAAACCAAAGTGAATAGAAAATTTTGAACTAATATTCTGTGTTAATGGAAAGAACAAATTTTTCTTTTCTTTTTTTTTGCGTGATAATGTTCAAAGATTCATTGTGAATCAATAAATGTATGAAAAAAAATAAGAATTTTAAATGATAAAATTTCATTGTGAATGAATGAAAAAATGAAAAATAAATTAGCTTCTTTTTTCTAACTAAAATGAATTATTTAATAATATTCATATCACACATTCATATCTTTAAATGTCGAAGAAATATTTCCCATTGGATTCAATGTGTGTGTGTCTAAGATGATGATAAAATTTCTGCAAAAAAGAAATATTTCGATCAAAATTTTCTATCACTGTTTTTTTTTTGATTAGATTGAATACCGTGATGAGAAACATGCCTTACACATAAAAGAATTTTTTCTACATGAAAATGTTTATTCAATTTTCTGGAATTTATAATCGAAAAACTTTAAAAAGATATCATTTTATCATTTTTTCCCCTTACTCATGACAAAAAAAAAACTATCCACACAAAACATTGAAAAAACTTACCATTAGTAATTTTTTTATCCGATCCCGGTTGACCTGTTACTGAATGAAAACAAACACTTTTTTGTGGTGTTGTTTTTAAATTATTGCTATTTGAAGAATGTGATATTCTATCAATATCATTATTATTATCATTTTGTATTTCACAATCATTTTCAATGAATTCAATTGAATAATTGAAAATTTCTTTGTTTGAAATTTGATCATTATTTGATGATGATGATGATGATGATGAAGTGGGTGATGATTTATTCAATGATGATGGAGAATCAAGATGATGATGGTGAGAAGAAATAATTGATTTATTCATAATTTCGCAATTTGATTGTTGTTGTTGTTGTTGTTTATCATCATCAACATCGATGACATTTGATGGTGATACGATAGAATGATGATGATTATTCTTTGACAAATCATCATCATTCATGTTTTCATTGATTTTTATTGACATTTTCATTGTAATGACATTTTTTTTTTCATATGAACAAAATTATGATCATCATCATAATCATCATAATAAAACTTGGTTTACGTTGTTGTTGTTGTTATTGTTGTTTTTGTGGTTATCAGGCAAACAAACAAAAAAAAATTCATTATTCACACACAAACACAATGGAGCGAGAAAATTCAATATTCAACATATAAGATTATAGTGTGTGTGTGTGTGAATATAGGGCTGGTGAAAAGAAGAATAAAAACAAAACAAAAAAAAGGAACCATATCATATAATTTATGTATGAAATATCATTTGGTGGTGGTGGTGGTGGTGGTGATGGTGGGTAATAATAATAATTTTAATCAATAATTTAATGAAATAGAAGAAACCCAGGTATTGAAATGAATGAATGAATGAATAAAAAAGCACATAGAACACAGAGAAGAAGAATTCTCAATCAACCAACATTAAGTGACAAAATTTTATAGCTGCTGTTTTTTATTATTATTATTTTGCTACCTGGGAAAAACAACAACATGCGACAGTCAAAAGAGATTAATAAATAAAATAAAAACACAAAAATGATAATGTTTTGGGTAGAAAAAAAAACATGAAATAAATTCAGTTTGATTGAATTCAGTTGTGGAAATTTTAAAACATTGTTCATTTTTTTACGTGATTAATGATAATCATTATGTTTATGATTACCTGATGACCAAAAAACAACAACAAATGTAAAATTTTCATAATAATGATAATAAAATTCAAATAATATCTAGTTTTTTTTGTTCCAAATTCGTTTGAAATTGTCGTTGTTGTTTCAAATAACCAAATGATTGAAATACAATTCCCATGAAATAGGTGAATGAAAGGTGAATTTTTTTTTCAATTATTTTTTCCCTTTTTGAAATTTTAATCTTCTTTTTTTCTTCATTCAAATGAATAAAAAAAAACAAGTTTACAATCAATTGAAATGGCGCCAAAACTTTGATTGATTTGCTGAAAAATTTTCATTTATTTTAATTAAATAAACCAAATCAAAATGAGATTAATGATAACAAATTTTTTGCTGTTGCTGTCGATCCGACATCGAATCTAATTAAATAATGAAAAAGAGAGAGAGAAAGAGAATTGAAATAGAATCTGGAATCTAGAATCGGCCATATAAATGATGCAAACATACATTAACAGTGGGAAAAATAATGCAATGAACCAGAAGCAATGATAATCACATACATACATACACACAAACAAAACAAGCAAATAAACATATAAATCCAATAGATAACAGCAGATCACCAATGAACGAATGAATGAATGAATGAATGAATGAATGAAACTAACCACCATTCAGAATAACCAAATGAAAATGTCCATTTTTTTCTATTTTTTTGATTCAGACAAGACAATCTTGTTTTATAATGTCAAAAGATATAAGAATTTAGAATTCATGTCTAAAGAAAATTAGAAATACTGATGTTGTTGATGATGATGAGTGTGACAAAAAGAGAAGATCATAGATGTGAAGAATATTTGAGGAAGAAGTTGGATATAAATGAAAATGGATGATGCTGAACACATTCAATTTATATAGATTTTTTTTTATTTTGCTGGCCAAACTAAGAAAAAGAAAGATCTAACGAAAATCTGCAAGAGAGTATGTCTATGAAATGAATGAATGAATGAATGAAAAAAACTAAAATCAAGAAAAAAAAATATCCAAAAAGGTTCCAAAGACTATGTTGAGAAGGAAAGAAATTTATGTATCGGTATGTATGTATTATACGGGAATGGTAAATGGAGCATGAGCATCATTATACAAACCAATTCTAGCATTTTGTAGCAGTATCCTTTAGGTTCCAGATAATATTTTTATTGTTGTTATTGGTGAAATTGGTGAAATACTTCTACATCCTCTCTACATACATGCATATATGATAGTTTGTCGTCTACAGAAGAAATAATAAACTCTATATATATTTTTTTTTCATTGAAAAAAATGAAAAGAAAAGATTTTTTCTATTAAAAAAAAAAACAATCTTTTTGTTTTGTATTGAAATGAAATCAGAATGTGGAAGAAAAAAAAAACAGTGTTTGCAAATAAAAAACTGCTGTTGTTTTGTAATTTCAATTTGAAATTATGGAAAAAAAAATTATATGATAAATGATTCTTTGGAACCCCAGCAAAAAAAGAATTTGAAAAATATGTAATTCTTTTTCTTCAGAATTTTTTCTTATTCACAATAGTCTTGGGTGTTTATATTACCAAAAAAAAACTGATCCGATTATCATTTTCTTTGTCCTTCATAATAATTGTTGGGGTTTTTTTTCAAAATCCGAATTACAAAATTCAAAATAATTTGTTAGTTTCGTTTACATTTATAATTTGTAAATTTTTTTTATTCATTCATCATTATAATAACACAAATGTCAACAAGTTTTTTGTTTTTGTTTTCCCTTCACACAGCCTTAGATATGAAACAAACAAAACAAAAAGAAGAATTGCTGATAACTAACAGAATCTATTATTACATAACTCAAAAAATCATTATTTTTAAAAACGTAGAAGAAAAAAAAAGTTTTGAATTAATATTTAAATGATAAAACAAAACATGTAAATGTAATATAGGGGTATACTAAAAAGAAGAAGAAAAAAACGATGAATAGCAATCATTCATGCATCGTTGGCCAGACCAAATTACCAAATTAACCAACGAACGCTGAAAAAAAAATCCAAAAAATCAGAATTTTACCAAGAATGAACAAAACAAACAAACGAACAAATTCGTTGACAATGATGATGATGATGATGATGATGTTTGTTATGATTATTTATTTGTGTATGCAAAACATGACATATCACACATACAGACCAACAAAACTATTTAATATGCAACAAACAAACAAACAAGCGAAAAAAAGATAGATAAAGATAGATAAATAAATCAATGTAAAAACTATCATTGAAATATAATGATAATAACACCATACAACAACAACAACATTAGTAATAATGATGTCGATATTAATAAAAATAAGAATAAATGATGGCAAAAAAAAAAATAAACCAAAGATGACGATGATGATGATTGTATATTTTTAGCATCCATTCATAATTCTGTGTTTCTGTGAAACACAGAAACAATGTTCACAATGTTCAATCTTTTTTTCTGTTTCTGATGTAATGTGTGTGTGTGTGTGTGTATAAGCGAAAGCGCTTTTTCATATTCACATTCTCGAAATAATGATGATGATGATGATGATTTCAGTGAATATTTTGCTTCTGTATTTTTATTAGATCAGAAAAAGAAAAGAAACGAAGAAAGTAAGGAAAACGAAACGAAGAAAATAACGTTGTTGTTTATTTGAACTTTCTCTATATTTATTATTATGCGAATGAATTTTTCAAGAATATATTTCTCAATCACTTTATTCCATTCACACATATACATTCATTATCCATATTTCTTTTTTTCAACAACAACAACAATAATAATAATGAAGAAAAGCTTGACATTCAACGTTTGTTACTGTTGGAGATGCTGTCGGTATTGGTGTGATGATAATGACGATATTTCCAACGAACGGTATTGAAGTTTTTAATGAAGAATAAATAAAAATAAAAAAAGAAAATTCGGAAAACATCAAACATCAAACAAACAAACAAACACAGACACAAAGACAAAGTCAAAGTAGCGAAAATTCTTTCATATATTTTTATAATACGCAATCAAAACAGTGATAAAAAAAAGAAGAAGAAAATGATTGATTTTTTTTCCAATTCTGATTCATTCAATTAACCTAAATGAAGATTATTAATGTGTTTTTTTTTCAATTATCGTTATTTTGATTAAATCGATTATTATTGAAGAATTTTATGGAAGTTTTTGTCGTTGTGTTTTCATGATGAAAATATAATTATGTAATGGTTTTTGTTGTTGTTGTTGCTGTTGTAAATCCCCAAAATAACACTACACAAACACAATAATAATAAAAAGTTGTTAATATAAATTCTTGATTTAAAAATTGTTTCACAGTTGTTTTTTTGTATTGATTGATTTTGATTTGAAAAAATAAATAAAGATTCTTTGAAAATAATCGATTGATTTGAGCTAAATGAATTGAATGATAATTTCAAACAAAATGAATTTACAAAATAATGATGACGACCACCACCAACAGCAGCAAGAACAATGTCAAAATGATGTTCAACAACCGAATAATGATAATGACAAAATTTCAATAACAACGATAACAACAACAACAACCACAACAGGCATAACAACGACAACAAATTCAGGTTTGTTTTCATTATCATAAAATATTATTTTAATGATAATTATTATTGCTTGTTTATATATTTTTTCCAAATAAATCTCTCTAATAACTCTAATAATAATAATAATAATAACATTATCATTATTTGAAATCGATAAATTTGATTCATAAATAGAATATCGATCGTTGTTTGAAAAAAGTGTGAAAAGAGTGTTTTTCCCTTTCGTTTGTTGTTGTTGAAATGTTCGAATGATTATTGATTAATCATGAACAAATCATGTATTGAATGATGACATTACTTTTTTCTCTCTCTCTCTCATTCTAATTCTATTTTCCAAAAACTTTTTTCTATTTATTTTTCAAATGAATTACAATGGATTCAAAATGTCAACATTGAATAGAAAACTATGATGATGAATCTATGATGAATACAAATCATCATTCACAACAACAACAACAACAACAAGAAAAAAGATTCGTGCTGTCGCCATCCGTTTCATCGATTTCAAATGAACAAATCGATAATGAAAATAATAACAAAATTCAATCATCATCATCAACAGCATTAGTCATACGAAATAATAATGATCAGAATGAAACCGTTTCTATAACCGATTTGAATGACATCGATGATATTCAACAAAATGAACAACAACAGCAGAAAATTGAATTTTGTTTTCCTAATGAAAATCACCTTGTTTATGATCGATTTGAAAAAATCGATGACATTCATCCACAATCATTGCAGTTAACAACAAAAAAACTGTCAAAAAAAGAGGAAAAGAAAAGATTAAAACGTCTTGAAAGACGACAACAACAACGGCGACGAACATATTGGAATTATATACCGATAGATATTTTAGAAGAAATTTTTAAATTATTATCGATCAAAGAAAGACATTTAGCATCACAAGTATGTCCACATTGGTATGAATGTTTTTATTCACCAACAATATGGACAATATTGATTATAACAGATAAATCATTTACTAAACGTAAATTCAATTATTATTTAGGATATCAACGTATGATTGATCCATTTAAAACACAAGTAAGAGAAAATTATGTGATTATGGTTATGATTCTAACCACACAAATGATTTTTTTCCAACTAAAATTTTTTTTGTTTGTGCAGACATTTCTATGGAAATTCGGTACAAACATACGTCGTTTAATTATTAAACCGATGAGTAATTTTTTCAATTTATATGAATTTATGAAAATATTATCACAATTTGCTGAACATTATCAACCGAATCGTTTACGTCATCTAAATAGTTTAGATTTTACATTTGGTTGTCGTTCAACAAATCTATCAATTAATGATGGATTTGATCAAAATCATCGTCGTTTATCAACCGGGGATATACCAAATGATGATATTGAAGTTATTGGTACTGGTGGAAAATTATTAGAAGCATTAAAAGAATTAATGTATTATCTCATTGGTTAGTTTTGAATATATTTTTTTTTCAATTTAAAATTTCAAAAAAAAACTTTTCGTTATTTTTTTCTATTCAAAATGAAACATTCAGGATTAAAACATTTAGCATTACGAGATTTATTATTAAATCCAGATGAAGCACGTTATCTATTGGATAATGTAACACAAAATTGTTTTGAACAATTACGTACATTAACATTAATCAATTGTTGTAAAAATTCATTTACATTTTTACATGTTGGTATATTTATTAATCTGGAAATTTTGGTTATTTCATGTCAAGTATGTTAATTATTTATTTACCCATGAAACAAAAAAAAAAACAAAAAACAAAATGAAAGCAAACAAACGCATTTTTTCCATATTTTTTCGCTAATCGATTGATTGATTTATTTTTCGTTGAATTATTAAACAGAAAATCCTAATGTGTAGGTGTGTGTGTTTGATTTGCTTGCTTGTTTGCTTGCTATAATCAGTAGGCCTAAAGGAAAATCTCAATTTTTTTACTTTGCTTTTATGATAATTAATAATGAAAGAATCAGTAAAAAATCAATTTTTTATCATTATTATAATAATAAAATTTGTAATTTTTTTTGTGTTTTTTGTTTTTCTATACCCAAAAAAAGCATTTGGATGATGATGTTCTTATGCTATTAGCAATGAATCAATCATTAAATCATTTATATATTGTACAAACTGAACTGACACGATCACAAGGTCCATTATCATTTGGTTTATGGAAAAAATTTTCAAAAATTAATCAACATATTCAAATACATTTGGTAATGGTAAATCGAACAACAAGCCGTCGTGGTCAGAATCCATTAGCATATGTGTGTATAAATACCATGTTCATTGATTTTCATATAAATCATTTTTTTTTTGTTTTGACATATTTTTTCAGGAATTATCATTACAACCAACTCGTGTTACATCGATTATATATGATGCACCGATTATTAGACCTAGCTGTGCACGATTAATAGATATTGGACAATTATATGGCCAAAGTTTAGAATGTTTAGCATTTTATCATATACCAAAATATCCAATACATCGATCATATATGGATCGTGTTGATACATTTCTAGTTAAGTTTTTTTTTCAACAGTTAAAGTGATTTTTTTTTTGATTTTGAGTATTCAGCCTCCCTCCAAAAAAAAATAACTAATCTTTTCAATTTTTTCCCCACAGATTTATATCAGTCAACAATGTTCAAGATTACGAACTATAATCATAAATGATCTAATATCAACAGCAACATTATTATTAATTGTAACATATGCAAGAAATATAACTAAACTTTATGTACGACGAAATGCTATACGTAAACGTTTTGATTGTTTAATCAATCCATCATGGCGTGAATCATTTATACAATGGTTAAGGAAAACATCACGTTCATATGAACAAACATTTATGGAAATTTCACGAATGTTAGGATATAAATGGATACCATTATCGGATGATCAATTCAAACGATTACGTCCTGATGTTTGTCTTTGATCGATCAATTGAACATTTTGTTCATAGAGAAAAATTCTTTTTCCATTCTCTTTCTCAGAAAAAAAAACTTATAATGTGATACTGTAAAAATTATTATCATTCAAAACTAATAATTTTGATTCTTGAATGAATAACAAAATCAATCATCGAATGTGGAGAATACAAAACGAAAAGAAGTTTTTTGACACTTTTCTTTCTTTCTTTTTTTGGATATCAGCGGGGGAAAAAAAGTTGACATTATAATAACGAAAGAACGGAATAACAAAACTTACATTCTTCCAATTTCATCGGAAACTAACAAACAGAAACAGAAACAGAAAGCAAAACTTTAATCTTGTAAATAACAAGTGAAATACAAAATGATGAATTTTCTTCTTTTCTTATTGTCTTTTATGAAGTCAAGATTATTATTTTAGATGTTGATGTTGATGACGACACAAAAAAAAACAAACTGCAACTGATGATTTTCCAAAGAAATAAATTTTCTTTTAAGGATTATTAAAATAGCAATAATGAAATGAAAGTGTTGATGGATGGATGTGTCGTTATCGATCTCAAACAATCCATTGACATTACAATTGATGGAAAGCCAAATCAATGTGTGTGTGATATCACCACAATGTATGCAATCGACTGTAAGAAGAGCGAAAAACGATAATCAGCTTTTTTTTCTGCACAGCCATATTTATAACACCTCGCGATTTAACTCGTAAGAGAAATCAAAGTAATGATAATAAATAAATTTTAAATTGAATTTCAACAACAACAAAAAAAACAAATTTTTTATTAATCATTACACAATGGAAAAATTGAAAAATCGGTAACGCACGATTCATAAATAAATATCACATAATTTATATAGGAAAATTTTTTTAGCATAAAATGATGCAAATATAACCGTTGACTGAGAATTATCGGATGCAATTCCATAAACAAGATGATTTTCATTTAATAAATCTTCATTTTCAAATAAAAATTTATTTAGTTTATAATTTAGAATATTAGAATTATGATTATGTTGAATTTTTTGTTTAAAATTATCCAATTCATTTGAAATTTCTAATTTAAGCCAATAAGCACCTGAATACATTGCCGATATGAGAATATTATCATTGTTTACACGAATTCTCCATATTCCACTACCTTCAATATGTATTTTTTGTTGCAGACAACAACGAAGAATTTTTACATCCGAATTATGGTTAAATTCCAAATCAATACTATAAATGCGTAAATTTTCATCATATGATCCAACCAATAAGATAATGGAAACAATTTTCGTATCGATTTGAATCATACGAAATAATTCGATCGATGTTACACCATATGATGAATCACAATTTCTAAATAATTCGGTTAAATTCTGCGGGCTAAAAGATAACAAAACGAAAAAAAATTAATTAATTTAAAAATTATTGAATTAAAAAAACAAACATACTTGCAAGCAAATATTCTCCATGTAGAATCTTCACAACCAACAAAAATTAAATTTTTTTCAATTTGAAATTCATTAATTTTGAAACGGATTATTTTCGAATACCAAATTGATGATGAATCTTTTGTGACAATGGAATGTATTGATTGTTGTTCCACTAGATCTTCAATCGAATCTGTTATCGAAAATTGATAACAGAAAAGTTTACCATCCGAACTTCCTATCGCCAATGTTAGAAAATTATCCACAAACGAATCATCAATTGTGGTTAACATTTTTGTACCGGTTATGATTTGTCGAATTTGTTCAATTTGTTTACCATTTTTCAATTTATAAATAGCAAACATTCCATTTGAATGTGCAGCAATAATTAATTCATTGTCATTGTCATTTGTATAATGATATTCGGATATTTTCAAATCGAAAACACCACCCGATTGACAGCAATGTTTGGTAATGAATTTATTTTCCGCATCGAAAATATTTATACTGCCTATTCGATTATTTAAAAATGTTAATTGTTCTTCGGTATATTCATCACAAATTTCGGTTCCATTTTCAATCAATTGATATGTTCCAATTATAAAAGTATTACATTTTTTTGAATAATCAATAATACATGGATTTAGATCGATTGTAGATGTATTGTAGAATTTAAAATTCTTAGCCATTTCAATTCAACAACAACAACAACAAAAAGAATACCAAAAAATTCCGAATTCCAAAAATTCCAAGCAAAACCTGAACACCTGCATGATTCATTTACCATTCATATAGAACGTTCGTAAAAAAGTTTTTCGAACAATATGGCTTTTTTTTATTTCCAGAAACAAAAATTTCACTTTCAATGAATGAATTTTATTCTGATTCAAACGATTAAAACTTGTGTCCTAGATATAATTCATCAAACAACAACAATTTTTTTCAAATGAATAACATAGAATGGTCAAAAGAAGAAGAAACAAAAAAAAAATGAATAATGCATCCGTTATGGTCGGTTGATTACATTGACCGGATCATGGTCGAATTATTGTCATTGACATTTTTTTTTCTTTCAAAATTTTGGATATGGACACACACATGTGTTGAATTTCGAAGACATGTGTCCACATTTACAGAATTTTCAAATTCAACAATGATTATTCAATGGATGATAATGATAGATGTGTTCCGATGTCAATTTGAAAGGAAAAAGTAGAAAAAAAAGGTCAACAACATTAAACTATGCTTTTTGTTTGTCAAACATTATCAGGAACAAAAAAAATGGTAAAAATGCGGTTTTCATTTTCGTTGTTGTTGTTGTTGCCTGGTTGCATGATCCATCCATCGTCAGGTTAATGAAACAATCATTGGCGACAAAAATTTACAAAATGATAGAGAAAGTTTTTTTTGTTTTTTTTTTGGTGGACTTTATGTTTGAATCATCCAACCACAATTTTAAAATTCCATTTCAACAAGTTTTTTTTTGTTGTTGTTTTTGTTCTGGTTTGCCCGAACTGTATTATTATTATTCAATTCAAATTCACATTAATTACATTTTGTAATGAATGTGATGTATCCAATCAGACACAAACACTGAACAAATATTGTGTTTGATTGGAAAAAAAGAAATTTTTTCATTTTCATTTTCATTTTTGGGTGATCATCATATATAAAAACTGTATTGGATGAAATTATTGATCGATCTAAATTGAAAAATTCATTTGGAAATTTTGTTTCAATTCAATAGTAAATGGTTTCAAATGTTCAGTGTTTATGCAGCTGGCTCAAAACATATACGTATATTCAACGCCAAACACACACATTTATTGAATGAAGAATCAGAATCTCTGTGATCATTACTTTTGAATTTGTTATTATTGTATCGAAAAATGATCTATATCCGATAACGATTTTTTACATAGAAAATGTTTTACAATTCAATTCGTTTTCCAATCATCATCATCATCATCATAATCATCATCATGATCATTGTAAGCAAATTTAAACAACCGGAACAATCATTGAATGAGTTCCTTTTTACTTTTGTTTTTTCTCTGTATTAACATAATTAAAATTTTCATTAATTAGCATCAAATAGAATCGAAATATTCATTGAATACAGGTGAAATAATTAGACCAAATTTTTTTGAAATACCTGATAATCAAAGTGATAATAAATTGATTAATAAATATCTATTAACATTCAATACTAAACTAAAAGTTTTTTATGCCGTATTGAATAAAATTAATCATACAAATGTAAATGTTGATTGTGATTTTTATCAAGGAAGAATTATATCACCTGTTTCAAATGGTTTTATAGCTGCAACAATTTGTATGGATAATTTTAATCAATCAATTTTGGTAAGTATAGTTTTTTTTCTGAGAATTTCATTCTTATTTTCGTCCCTAAAAACTGTAAAATTAGTATTCAACAATCATTTTGAATGATGAAACATTTGTGATAAGATCATCAATCGATAAACAAATATTTGTCAATAGATCAATCAATTTAAATGATTTCAATATCAACACCAAGAATGACAATAAAGTTTGTTGTTCATCATTCGAATCACAATCAATACAACAACAACAACAACAACAACAAGATGGATGGAAAATGAAAAAATTTGATTCACATTATCTGTATCGTTTTTCAATCGATACAGATAAATCATGGAATATTGTAAAAAAAGCTGATCCAGAAAAATTAATCGATTTGATTGATCAAGCAACAACAACAATTACCAAACGAGATATACATTCGGATATCAATGAAAAACAAACAAATTTACCGGATAAAATATATAATATTGAGACAATAATTTTTGTTGATCAAACATTGATTAGAAATTTTAATGGTGCAAGAAAAGAGCTAGAAAAATTAATACTTGCTATTATGAATGAAGTACAATTAATTTATAATTTTGATACAATGAAAACAAGAATACGTATTGTTATTAAAAAAATTGTATATCTTGATGATAGAAAAACGGATATACCAAATACAGCCGATGGCGATATTGATCAATATTTAGATAATTTTTGTGCATGGCAAAAACGACTTTTGAAACGAACCGAAATCAATTCACGTTGGGATCATGCACTTATGTTGACCGGGTTTGTTTGTTTTGATAAAGATTGATTTTTCTCATCATCATCGATTGAATTTAATTGATATTGTTTTATTTTTACAGATTGGATTTATATAAAAAGATTGGTAAAGAAAAAAATCGTAAAGTTTTAGGTCTTGCATGGGTAAATGGAATGTGTCGACCATCATATAGTTGTACATTGAATGAGGGAAAAAATTTTGAATCAGCATTTGTTATTGCACATGAAATGGCACATAGGTATGGCTTCCTTCCTTTTTTTAAACCAAAGGATTTGACTATTCTATACGATTTTTGTTTAGCCTAGGAATGTTACATGATGGTTATGATAATAATTGTGATCCGGATAAATATATTATGTCGGAAAAAACTGGACCCGGAAAAATTCATTGGTCACCATGTAGTAATTTATATTTGGAAAATTTTCTCACGTAAGTTTGTGTTCACTTTGAATCTATTGATGATTTTTGAATCTATTATAATGATCACCTTGATTTTGTAAAAAAACCAAAGAAAATCTAATCTCAAATGTTTGGAAAAAACATCGGAAGAATCATTTTTTACCTATACAAGTCCATTGGATGATTATTTGGATCAACGTTTACCTGGTGAACAATATAATATAAATCAACAATGTCAATTAGCATTAGGAAATCAATATCAATCATACATTTCAAAACGATCTCCATTCAATGTAACAAAAAAAAAAATTCTATTCTATCATTTTTTGCTCAAATGATAATAATTCTCTCGTTTTTTTCATATTCTCTAGGATATATGCAAAGAATTATGGTGTTCACATGGACATTGGGCATCACCTGCTCATCCTGCACTTGAAGGTAGTCCATGTGGTGATGGTAAAATATGTTCACAAGGTTCATGTACTGTTGTTGCTATGACAAAAACATCAAACAATAGATCTATATCATATCTAAATCGACATAGACAACAACCCAATGATCATCATCCGGATAATAATAATAAACAAAACAAAGAAAATAGCCGTACAAATTCAAGCCAATCACCATCATCATTTATGAAACGTGTACAACGATTCCTTAAAAGTACCATAAGATCAGTAGTGAGATTTTTTTCCGGTTAATTTTTAATTTTAATTTTGTTTGTTTTTTCTGTTTTAAAAAATAATTTATTTATAAAAAATATAATGTTATATGAAACAAATAAAATTGTTTCCAATTGTGTTTTTACTCAATATTGTTGTGTTTGTGATGACAATCAATCGATTGATTATAAATTGAATGCGACAAAAAAAAATTACAATACAAACATTGAATCGGTAACCAATATCATATTATTCAAATAAGCGTTGTGTTTATGAAATTTCATTTTTTTTGTATGTTAAAAATCAAGTCAAAAAAATTGCAAATTTTACTCTGAAATAAATGAATTTTTTTTTAAAGATAAAATTGCGACGACAAATTATTAAAAAAAACGCTAACGAAACTGTAATGAACTAATACGAAGACCAATAGCTTCACGACCGATTGCTGATACCAAACAAACACGACAAATTGTATTCTGATATTCAGGTGCATATGTTGCCTCACAAAATGGACATTTAGTTTCAACATGTCCACGATAGATTGGTGTATATGATGCTGCACAAATATTGAATGGATTATGTTCGGAATAATTGAGCTTATGTTCATCTATAGCAGATTTTTCACATGCTTGTAAAACTTTTCTTGTCTGTGCAGCAACATCGGCTTTTGGTCCCAATTCTAAAAGTCGTTTTGCAAATGATGATGCTGTTTGAAAATTTTTCAATTTAAAAAATAAATTCAATGCAGTACGTAATGTTAATATTTGATGTACTGGTTGTAGATGAACATGTGTAAAATATGCGGCCATTTCGCATGAACGTTTTTGATTTTCAATCGATTCTTTTGGCATCGATTTTCGTTCAATTTCCATCGAAAGTCCGACAATATATTCACGGCAGATTTCAAGTAATTTTTTTGCTTCAATAATTTCCTGTTTACTATCCACCGAAAGCATCAAAACACTTAACATTAATTGACGGAAACGATCGACAGCATCCTGAAATTTTCCCATCGTTGTCAATTGATAGCATTGTTGTAAACGTTGTATGAGATGATCCAACATTTGTATTTCGATTGCAGGCAAACCTTTTGTAAAATCTTCGCGTGGATTTCGTTGCGGATAGGCAAACATTGTAGGAAGATATGATAGGCCTTGATAACCAGCACGTGATCGAGCATAAGTCATCATAAATATACTTTTTAATGGTTCAAAATTAACAACAGCCACCTATTTGAATATAAAATAAAAAAAATTGAATAAATTAACCAAACAACAACATTTACCTGTTCATTTAAAAGTCTAAAAGCAGTTTCGAAAGAACCGGCCAAAATATGATCCACAACAAGTTTTGAATTTTTGATCCAATAATGTGTGGGTGGAAAACCACGTGTTGGAGCGACGAAAAAATTTTCATCCATTCCAGCTTCAGGTTGTGGTAGATCTTGCATATCAAGATCATCAACATCCCAACCAGGTGTATCACCTTCATCATCTTTAGCATCGTGCATCAGATCATCATCATCAACTGCATTCTTTCCATTATCATCTAGATCTAGATCGGCTTCATCACCCCAACCAGTTTCAGCAGCGTCTGGTCCTTCATTTTCATCAATAATCAACATGTCGGCTGCTGATTTTAGGCCAGTTTTGCCTTTTGTGGCAGCCATAGCACCTTCGAAGAAACCACGTGTAACGGTTAATAATGGCCAATTCTCTTCATTAGGCAAAATCGGTAAAGATGGTTGCAATAACACAGCATTTGGATCAGGCACGGGTAATTTTTTCTCAGGATCAAGCATCTGTTTCAATTCTTCGGCATCCGATTCAAGACCATGTGTTGCAGCACAAAGATAAGCAAGAGATAATTGATCGGAATTACGTAGAATTTTGATTCGTTCTTCAACATCGCCCAACAGCAATGCATTCTTGAATTGAGCAGAAGTATCCTTACGAATTTCAGCAATTTTCATCATTTTTCGTAGTTTTTCCAAATTTCCAGTAACCAAATATAGAAATGATAATTTGTCATAATTTTTTGTTCGTTGGTAAGCCATTTCGACAACCTGATGATTACCTTGCATTAATGCAGCCTCAGCTAAACGTTCCCAACATGCTTGATCATCTAATGATCGAGCCGCTTCTAATGCAACTTCAATATTACCGCATTCCAATGCTAATGCGAATCTAGTTTTTTCATCTTTAACAAAATGCAATGCAACTTCAGGATAACCTTTTTTCTGTAGATAGGCAATAATAGATTGTCCAACTAATTCAGCATTACGAACCATATGTAAAACTTCATCATATTTACGATTGATTAATGCAAGTTTGAATTTAAATTCAGTTGTATCAATATTTAAAATTTTTGATTTAACTTCACGATCAAGGCAATAAACTTGTTGTTGTTTGATACGAGTAAGATAGACAGGTAGATCAAGCGTACGAATAATACCATGATCACCATTATATAATGCATATTTAATGTGATTCGATGTTGTATAGATGAAAACACCTAGATCATCCCAAGCACCACTTTTAATTTTATTTGTTTCAGTTATTGTTGCACTTATTTCTAATCGTCGATTACATATGGTTAATTGATGTTTACTCAATAAACATACATTCGACATATCATTATTCCAGATGACAAATTTAACTTTTGGACATGTTACATTCACCAATTCACGACCTTGTTGAACATCATACAAAACAAGACCATCAACATCACGCAACAATATCATTCCGGTACCGGCATAAAATATTTCGTCACATGCTCTTGTTGTCAATGTTTTTACAGTTTCATTTTTCAAATTTTTTATCAAAATCTGATGATTACGATCAATTACAGCAAAACGATCTCTTGCAATCCAAATGGCCGTCAAACCAGCTGAACGTTTTGTTTCCGGTGGATCAGTATTATGTGAACCGGTAATTTCTTTTGGTAATGGATATAGTTCATAGATACTATTTTCAGCATTAGGTGAACGGCTAGTAATAAGCATTGCATTTGCGGCAGGATTATAATAAATTGAATGTGGTGGTATACGGCCACGATTTCTTAACTGTATTACCGGAATATCTTTAGCAGTTGTAAAATCTAATCGACGTAAATAATGATCTTTTATGTAGAAAAGGAAATTTGAATGAATTGTAAATGCTGGACGTTCTCGTTCCAATTTGAAAACAATAATTCCAGCATCATGACCGGCTGCAAATAGATTCTGATTTGGATGAGCAGCCAATATCCAAAATCGTTCATGTTCACGACGAAAAGTAGATAAACAAGTTCGTTTAGTTAGATCCCAAACACGAATGCTTTTATCTTCGGAATTGCTCAATATAAGATCTTGTTTTGGATGAAATATGACACAGGAAACATTATTATAATGACCACGACATGAATCTACTTCCCAAGCTTTTGATTCATTCATACGCCATAATTTAACTAAACGATCATCGGCACCTGAAACAATAAGAGGCATAGTAGGATGGAAAGCGGCCCAATTTACACCACGATCATGTCCTTCTAGAACATGTTTAACATAAACATCGGAAGAACCAAATAAATCGGTTGAATGTGGATTCTTTAAATGATCTTCAATACCACCAGGACCGGGTGAAACATTTTTCTTTCGTAAACCAGAAATATCCCAAACACGTACAGTTTGATCAAGTGAACAAGAAACGACAAGATCTTCAGTTGGATGAAATTGTGCACACATAACATAATGATTATGTCCAGTCAAAATACTAATACTGGTACGTGATTGCCAATTCCATATACGAATAGTTTGATCATCCGAACAACTTAAAATCCATGGATATTCATGATGAAATTTTACTACACGAATATAATCCAGATGACCTAATAATGTGAATATACACCGGCGTGATTTATAATTCCAAACCTAAAGAAAAAAAAGAAGTTAAACAATCATATTTTTCTAAACATGAGTGAATAATTTACCTTAATTTTATAATCATCACCACCAGATACAAACAATGGTTGCTGAATATGGAAATCAATTCCACGAACCGGTCCATCATGTTCATCAAATTTATCGATCAATGTTCCGACACGATAATCCCATAATTGTATGAGACCCGAATGTAATGATGCCAATACCCATGGTCGTTTTGGATGGAAAACAATTCCCTTTACACGTGATGATTTTGATTCAAATTTAGTTAACATTTTATATGAAAATTGTTGTGATTCAGTACTGGATGGTAATGATATGGAAGAGAATGGATCGATTTGGCTTAAATAGGCTAATGTTGATGGTGAAATGCCCAACGAAAGATGGATAGGACTATCTTCGCTCTCTTCGTCAAGAAACACTAGAAAAGAGCTCATTGACTTTGGGTAACTAAAATTTGCTCACTGACAGATTTTATTCAATAAAATATGAAAGATGAAATTATAGACATTAGACAATCGATTGATTTCTTTTTTTCGGTTTGTTTTTTGCAAGAATCAATAGAATTTTTTTCTTTTGATCGATGACATGAAAGCCAAAATTAGATAAACCTTTTTCAGGCAGCCACTGTTATTTTTGCTCGCAATGATGATGTGTTTGAGTTGAATGCAGAAAACAGCCGCAAAAAAGACACCTCATCAGGTTGTGTGTGTAACGCTGTCTATGAACTTGTTTCATAAAATGGAATTTTTCCATTTAAATTTTTTCTTTTTTGTTAATTTATTTTCAAAAAGTTTTAGTAAATAACGATTTTATGAACGAAAAAAATGAAAACAAAACAAAAAATATTGATTTTTTCTTTTTTTTCAAATTTGGCAATTAATCATTGGTAATAGTGTAACAGATATAATGATGACATGATTTGAACACTTGAAAATTAGTCTGTAAATATTGGATTTTCCCCTTGATTTCGAAAATTCAATAACGAATATTTTTATATTTGGAAAAAATCATAAACAATACACGTAATGTAGCTTTCAAATCGGCATTGACAATATCTTCGGCACGAACTTTGTGTCTTAACTAAAAAGTGAAAATTGAAAAAAGTTAATTTAGCAAATTGAAACCAAAACAAAAAAACAACAATAATTACATTGATGCCAGCATCTTCAAGCAATTCCAAAGCAACATTAACATTATGTAATTTATGATGTGGTGATGATTCCATATAATTATGACTTTTAAAAGCCGTTTCTTTTGTACCAACAGCTTCGGCAATTGGATCAACCGATGCAGTTGTATAAATATTACCAAGTGGTACAAAATAATTTTCCAACATGCCAATCAAAAAAATAATATTCAAACCATCACTGAATGAATGTGGATCAATATCATCGACAGGACTTAATTCAATATTCAAACGGCTTAAATGCATATTAATAAAATGTGCAACCGATTGTTTAATTGAATGAACTTTTTCAGGTGTATGATCAAAAATCATATCAAAAGCATCTCTTGGTTCGGCACGTTTACTTAGTTCATCATATGCTTCGGTTAATGCTTCAGTTTGAACACGTTTATGTAGGGTACCTTGTAATTTCTATAGTCGAAAAAAAACATAAAGTCATTAGCATCAATAATTTTTCAATATCAGAATTGTACAAATACCTGAATAATTAGAATACTGATCTGAACATTTGGTGGTAAACGAATTGGTGCACGATAAAATCGTATTAAAGCAACTAATAAATGAATAATTTCAACAGTGTTTTTATTATGAATTCCTTTATCAGTCCAACGAACACGTTGTCCATCAAGACCAAGCAAACGATTAGCCATTTCAAGTACGATTTTAAGTTTTGCACGTTGAAAATCTTCATTCTGTGTCACTTCAACAACAGCCAATTTTTGTCCACTTAATTTTTCAACAAGTTTTCCCAAAATTTGTCCATCATAAAGATCTTCGGTCAAATCTTTTACAATGATTCGATGATCACTGTAAAAATTTTTTTTTATTTCATTTCAAAAAATATGTTAATCATGAAATTCAAACCTTAATTCATCATTAATCCAATTGATTAATATTTTTCTTAATTCCTGATAATCATAATTATTGATCATTCCCGGTTCGATCATTGAACGTTCTTCACCATCAGCTATTTTAATGAAAAAATCTAAATCAAAGAAGTGATTAAAACTATTTCATCTCAATTTACCAAGAACAAAACTTTCGGGTGATGTATCAAAAACTGGATGTTGTTCATTGCCATCGATTGCCTGTTTTCCTTCTTGAACAATTCCTTGTACTGCTTCGGCTATGTAACAACCAAAGAAAAAAAATTAATGCATTCAATTCGAAACAAAATAGACAAACCTTCACGAATTTTTTTCTTTCGTCCTAATGTTCCAAGTGTTTCCAATAATTTTGGTGTAGTTTTTCCATTTGTTTGTGGTGGTTGTGGACTTGGTGTTGCCATTATATAATATTCTCTAAAGATAAAATGAATTTGGTTTTTAAAAAAAATTACAACGGTTATCATAATGGTTCAATTACCCGATCACAAATTAAATTAAAGAAGCTGCCGTTTATGTATGATGAATAGAAATGAAAACTTTTACTGTTGAAACATTTAAAGAAAAAACATAACAAACAATACAGAATATCCTACACACATTAAAGTGAAGTAAAAAAAAAATATTTAAAAATAGATCCTAACATGGAAAGTGTATAGTGTTGCCATATTAGGAGGATTTTTGGGCGATATCCATCTATCAACAATCATCATCATCATGAAAAAAAGAGAACATTACGCCCGCGCGCGCGTTTGAAATGTTTACCGAGAAAAGAAAACAAAACAAAAATATCTTCATTAAAATATTACGAGAGATGCTTGTTGCTTTGGCAATGTTTTTTTATTTTAAATAATCCAAGGCTATACAGAATTCACTATCGATAGTGTGTTTGTGTGTAGGCGAAAAATTATCGATAGTTTTCAATTCATTGACAAAAATTTCATAAAATGTAAAAATGAATGTTGAAAATTCTTGGATTTTGGGACCAATTTTATTTGGTTTTGTTATTGGTTTTCGATCGAAATCATTCAGATTATCATCATTAACATTGAGACAAAAACTTGTAATTGTTTTCAATACAAATAATGTTCGTCGAATGAATAATACAGAATTATTATCAAATTGTTCGAAAATTTCGGTAAAATTTATCCATTTTGTTAATCAATTTGTTGATTGATTCGTTTTTTTGAAAATACATTTTTAGATAATGGCATTTGAATCATCCAGAAAACAAACACCATTATCATATTATCTTTGGTCATTGTTTGGACAACCAAAAGTAGTTTTACAGGCAAATTCCAACCAGAATTTAGAACATTTTGCTCGACAAGCATCCGAATCGATGATTTGTTCAACAATTTTACGTAATAATAATGATCGAATAATTTTGGCAATTGGTCCAGGACCTAATCACATGATTGATAAGATTACTGGACATTTAAAACTGTTATAATCATATAATTTTAGTGATGTGTAAATAATTTGATAAATAAAATGTATACAAATTCTGTTTATTAACTTTTTTTTTTATTCAATTTTCACTTTTTTCATTTTATTCAATTAATTTAATTTTCAATCAATTTTTTTGTTCCAACCAACAAGAATCGAATACAGAAGAAAAAAAAATGTTACAATGAACAATGTTATTCAAGAGAGAAAAAACAAACATTTGACATTTACACAAAATTCAAGAAGCAATCAGACCAAAATAATAAAAAAAAATTGACATTTTGGGATAAATAAGTGTGTGTGTGTTTATGTGTGTGTAAAATATAAGCTATTTGGAATTGTGTAAATTGAACAGAGAGAAAAAAAAATTTGAATTAAAAAAAAGAAGAAAACAATACCTAGAAAGAATGCAAGAAACGATAGAACTTAATGCTTGTGTGTGTGTGTGATGAATTGTTGTTGGTTGCACGATAAGAGAAAAAAAAATTTTGATGGAAAAAAATCATTACATGACAACCATAATTTATATTATATAATTTTCATTGAAACAAATGATTTATGGTAAATCATTATCCGAACCGACCGATTCGACATCATCACCGAATTCAATTATATCCTCTTCTTCATCATCTTCACCAAATTCACGTAATGATACTTCATTGATACGAGCATTTTCAGGTAATTCACCATATGTTTTAAGATTTCTTGCTTCATCCGGATTATATTTAAGAATAACATCGGCTTTTGTATCCTGATAATCACGTAAACCAATCAAGATAATATCACCTTGATTAATCCAAACTTTTTTACGAAGTTTACCACGAATGTGACATAAACGTTTAACACCATCAAAACAATATGCTTCTAAACGACCATTACCCAACATACGCATTACTTGTGCATATTCTTGTCCATCTTCTTTAAATACTAATTCACGTTTTTCATCTTCATTTTCATTCTTACCACGACGCCGATTTTTGCCTCCCTTACCCTTGTTTTTTGGCATTTTGGGATGCTAATAAATCTTTGTTTATTTATTGACTTTTTATTTCTTTATTTATCAATCAATTTGATGATATACAAAAATATTAATGATGAAAAACTTGCAAATTTTTGTTTGTTTGCCGGTGATTCAATCTATCGTTCGATTAGAGAATTTCAAAAAAAAGAAAAGAAAAAATTAATGGAAACAAATTTATTTGAATTAATCTTGAGATAATCTAATCATTGCATACCAAGAATTTGTTTGTTTTTTTTGACCAACAAAACAATTTATTACAAAATTTGATGTTCCAATTGTTATAACGAATGGACGAAAGGAAAGGAAAACACGTTTGCCAACAAAATGTATACGACGTTGAGTGAAATGTGTTTGTGAGTCGATATATATCTCTCACTCTTTGTTCATTGAAATAGAAGAAATTGCACACATGCGTGTGTGCTCATTTTTTTCCCGAAAAACTTTTCTTTGATCATCATTTTAAAATTCTAAAAAGTTTCCGAAAGGGGAAAAATGATTTAAAATGAAAAATTTTTATTTTCAAAATTAAAAATTAGTTAATGATGTTGTTTTTTCATGTCCTGGCCATGCTTCTTTTGCATATTTCTTTTTCTGTTCTTTTTCATCTACAAAATCTTCAGCATCATATAATGAAATAGATTCAGAATCAACAAACGAAGATTTTGATTCAATTGGTAAAGGTCCAATTAATTTATCATCATTATTATCATTAACAATTTCTGGAGCTGGATTTGGTAATTGTATACCTAATGAACAACTTTTCTGCAATAATGTATTAGCGGTTGAAGTAGTTGCCGAACTATTCGATTGATTCGATGATTGATTAATTCGATTAAAAAATGATTCTTTAAATAAATTAGAATACAATGATGATGATGATGATGATGATTGTGAATCTGATTTTAATCGTTTTGTGGAACTATTATTCGATGGTATAATGGATGTTTGTACTAGATTACGAAATCTTCCAACATTAGGATCAACATCTTCCGGATTGATTATTTCATCTTCGGTAAGGAATTGAACTGATTTACGTTTTTTAGCTTTTGCCGGTTTCATATCATCTGTTTCGGATACACCTAACATACTTACACGACGATTTTGTGCAGTATTATATTCAGTTAAATGATCGATTTCATTTTCACCTTCTGGTAATGACATTTGCATTTCATCTTCATCATTTTTTATTTGTTTAGGTTTTTCACGTAGTATATAATTTCTTGTTGAAGCACCAAAATGAAAACAAGAATCAATTGGAAGTTGAATTGGTCTGTTTGATTCGATTCGTATTGATCCAATAAATGAACCATGTGTTGAACCAAGATCAACTAGAAAAAAACGTTCCAAATTTTTATGATAAACTAAAGCAGCATGAACACGAGAACATGATGCATGATCAATACAAAAATCTGTCATAGCTAAATTTCGACCAAATAGATAATGATTTTTTTCATCAATCATTAGTTTCTAAATGAAAAATAGGGAAAGAAATCAAAAAAATTTCATATTTGAAACAAACTATAACAATCCATCAACAAAAAGAAAACTTAATGATGGAAGCTGATACAAGAATATTCATATTTAATTTAGGCATTATAATCATTGAAATGATTATAGAAAATGAACAAAAAAAAATTTCCATATCATTATTCGGAGATGCCAAAAATATTATTGAATTTTTCAACAAACCTGAACCAATTTTCCATCTTTCATAACATCTAAATGATAGCCACAGGGTGGAATTCCAGCCCTATAGAAAGAAAAATTACTAATTTCATTTCAATCATGATGATAATTTTAAAATTACCATGATGGTACTTTATAGCTAGATGAATCAGCCATGATTCATTTAATAATAATTAAAATCATCGATGTTAAGTTTCGGATTTCGATGAAAATAAATAAAGCATTCGAATTCTCAATTATGTAAACACACACACATTTGTTATTTAAGATTTGAATGATAATTATCCGATAGATGGAATCACTAATCAATTTATTGTTATCAAATATGATTGTTTACATGAGCTTCGAAAATAATTTGTCAAATTCAATGAACAAACAAAAAAACAAAAATCAAATCAAATATAAAAGGTAAAATTTTTACTGATAAAATTACTATGGATAATATTTTTTTTTAATAATCAAACATCATTGTTATTATCATCATCATTGTAGATAATTAATCTACTGCAGAAAAAAAAATTATTAAATAAAATCAAATCAAATGAGTAAAAACAGTACCAGCATCGACAAGGATACATTTGAAACTAATAATTTATTTGGTTTAGAAATGCCTGCAGATTTTTTAAGTATCGGTTATGCATGTATTGTTGCAATTGGTGGAATTATTGGCTATGCAAAAGCCGGTAGTCTTCCATCATTGATGGCCGGATTAGGTTTCGGTGTTGTGTTAAGTATTGGAGCTTATTTTTCATCCGAAAATCCAAGACATTATCATCTTCTATTAGGTATGATGAATCAAATATGAAAATGAAATTATAATTATTTTCGTTTCTAAAAGCTACTTCACTTGCTTTGGCCGGATTGATGGGATATCGTTTTTATAAAACTGGAAAATTTATGCCAGCTGGTTTGGTATTTACATTATCATCATTTATGGTGTTACGATTTTGTCTTCGTTTCATTACGAATCGTAATTATTTTTGAAAAAAAAACAAAATGTTTGTAGCAGAAAAAACCAACAATTTCCACATTGAAATTCTCAACAGCAAAAAACAAAATATAGATTCCAATTTTGTTTTGTTAAAACCAATATTTTTCGTTGTTATCGTTGATTTATTCCAAATTGAATAAAGATAAATGAATTTTATTTCCGGATTAATCAAAATAAAAATTTCCATTCAATGAATGTTTAAAAGGATTGAAAACACCCGAAAAAAAAGAAAAGATTTATGTTTCGATTACATCCTTGTTTTTTTTCCATTATTTTGGGTGAATCATACTAATCAAGTCAACAACAAAACAAAAAATCTTAATTTGTTCGAGGAGATTGAAAAAAAACCGTTTTTTTTCTTCTTCTTTCTAACCCGTTTTTTACTTTGGTGTGACCGATTTGGTGGATTTAGTGGTTTTTTTTTTGTTTTGTTTTCGGCAACCAATCAAATGAATAGCATGAATTTGATGGTCAATTGCTTCGCGAAGATTGCTGCTTTCCATAATCATAAAATTCATTATTTTTAAAAGTAATTATTATTTACAGTAAGAATTAATGAGAATCAATGATCCATTAATGATGATGATGATGTGAAAGAAAACTTTGCTATCCAACAAAAATCCCAAGATTTTCATCAACATCATTGTTTTTCCTTTATGAAAAAGTTTAAGTAGGCCAATTTCGGGGGAGAAAAAATTATGATGTTTTCCATGGAATAATAAAGCAATTATAAACAACAACAACGAATGAAAAAGTAGAAGATGAAAAAAAATCCACTAAACAGGTAATTTCTTTTTCGAAGTTTTATGCTTTGAAGAAAACTTTTGCAAACATAATCAATATCGATTTTTTTTTATTTGATGTATCGATTTATATCGAAAAAAATATGAACAAAACAGAGAAAAAAATTAACATCATCATCAAAAATATTGAATGAAATTACCAAAGAAAAAAAATGCGATTATTTTTCTAATCAATTGAAAAGAAAAAAAACTGGATAAAATTACAGGATAATTTACACACAAACACATTAATGATTAGAGAAACAAATTTTCTCGAAAAGGAAGGATAATGTCAAACAAAACGATGATAATAAAACGAATGGAATAGAATTTCGGAATTGAAATCCATTAAAAACATTCAGAATGATAGAAGGAAGTGCAAAAAAAATGAAACGAAATGAGTTAAGAAAATGAAAAGAAACATTTAATGGATTCTTCTTCTTTTTCGTATTTCCATTTTTAAATTCTGTAGAATTCGATTTTTTTTTGTTCTCTGTTCTATAGAGGCCAAGAACATCAACCAAACCAAACCAAACACACACATAATATTCATTCGTTTCTTTCATTGTCACTATAGAACGATGAACAATGAAAAGATAATTTTCAAACTTTTGAAAGAAAAAAACATTTGAAATGACATGAAATGGTTGTCGTCTTTCGTTACAAAATGTAAATTTCTTTTTGTTGAAAAAAATGTCAGAAACAAGAATCTTATTTAATTTCATTAAATTAGAAAAAAAATTTCCCTGAAAATTATAATTATTAGTCATTGAATCGATTTTTTCCTGTAAAGATTCTTTGTTGTTTCTCAAAAGAGAATATTTCTTTTTTTTTGCATTGAAAGAATTTTCTGCCTATTTCTACCTTTGTTAAAACGAAGAATTCAAGGAACGACAAACATTGTTTGTTTCTTCTTCTTTTTTTTTCTTTCTTGGTTGAAAACATCAAATCAATCGATTTTCGATCAATAAGGAAGATGAGTAGCAACAACTAAAAGATCAAAGGAAAATAGATTTTTTTTTATCATTCGAATCGTAAACATTAACTGAAGAAAAAAGGGTCTTTAACCTTCATCAATCAATTTCATTTTAAATTGACCAAATGGACAACAACATCCATGAATGTTGATTTGGGTTTTTTTTTCTTCTTCTTCTTCGTGTTTTTTTTCCCATTCATTCATCAATTGAATTGAAAAGAAAATCGAAATCTATAGCAATTTTGAACTTTGAACTTTTGAAGATCAAAATTAAAATGATACAAATTTTATGATCAAACATTGTGGATTCGCTACTCCAAACGTAATCATCATCATCATCTCATGTATAATACGTTCATTGGCCTCTTTTCACGAATTTTAAAAATCATGAATCCTATTATCATTTTCAATCAGTTATTTGTGCAAAACAAAACAATTGAATAGAAAACAAAAAAAAAACGATGCAAGCAAGCAAGTTATCAATCTTTTTAAAGAATCTTTGGAATAAATAAATATACAATTTAACAGAAGATTGAAAAAAAACTGGTTATCATTATACTACACCTTACCGACAAACATCATCATCACCATTATCATCATCTGATCAGGAGATTAAATGGATATAAAAAAACCAGTTCAAAATTCAATTGGGGAATGTGAATAAGGGTAAATTCTTTGACATGATGATGATGATGGTAAAAAAAACTTGGTCGGTCAAGTTTTTTTTTTCTTCTTGTTCTTGTTGTTTCTGTTAAGGTTAATAAATGGTCAGGAACAGAAAAACCGCCTTACCCATCATCATCATCAGAATTCGTATATAAATGGAAATTTCATATTGAAAATTTGTTTTTTATTTGTGTTTGTGTGTGTGTGGATTTTCTGTTCGTCGTTGCTTTTGATTTTTTTTTCCATCATTCAATTCATTTGAAAAAATCTATAATGAAATTTCATCTTATTATACTTGGTTTATTATGTTTACTATTAGTATTGGAAGTTAGCTGTGATAGTAAAGGTGGAACAAAAGGTGGAAGTTCAGGTAAGGAATTTTTTTTTTGTTGATTTCCTTTGTTTTCTATTGATTAATGAATTGAATTGAATTGAATTGAATTTTGTTTTCAGGAACTAAAGGAAATCCAAATGTACCACCACCACCAAGCAAAGGTGGTCGACCACCAACAAAAGGTGGTAATGATGATAGACCACGTCCACCAGTAAAAGGTCCAAGACCACCAGAAAAACGTCCTTCAACAACAACAACAACAACTACTACTACCACCGAAGAACCTGTACAACAACAACAGCAAGAAGAAGAACAACAACAGGAAGAGCAACAACAGGAAGAACAACAACAACAAGAAGAGCAACAACAAGAAGAACAACAACAGGAAGAACAACAACAAGAAGAGCAACAACAAGAGGAACAACAACAACAAGAACAGCAACAACAACAAGAGGAACAACAAGAAGAGCAGCAACAACAACAACAAGAAGAACAACAGGAAGAACAACAACAACAACAAGAGGAAGAACAGCCAACTAAAGGTGGAAAAGAACGGCCACCACCATCAAAAGGTGGAAGACCACAACCACCACCATCAAAAGGTGGACGCCCAACAACAACAACAACATCATCGCCACCAACTAAAGGTGGTACAAAAGGTGGAACAAAAGGTGGCGTTAAACGACCATCATTTTATCGACCAGATATATTGACATTAGAAGATCAAATTATGAGAGGTGTTCAACAACCAATACGACCATCAATGATTGTACCAAAATTAGCTCCTAGAAATATTCCACAACCATTATTACCATCAACAATACATTTTCCACATTCACGATCAATGTCAAATATGATGATTGAAGAGATACCACAACAAACAAGAATTATGCCACCAACAATGGCATTGGTTGAAGAAAATAATAATAATAATAATGATGTTGATAATAATCATCATCATCAACAAGAATTATTAATGCCAATGATACAACAACAATTACCATCAGTACGATCAATCATTCCACAACCATATGAAAATCTTTTATTACGACAACAGCCACAACCACAACCACAATCATTCATAAATGCATGGAATGTACCACGAATGCAACCACAACAACAGCATCAATTGTATTTGCAAAATATGCGACAATTACCAAATATTATTTATTAATGATTGATGATGATGATATGGAAGAAAATTTTTCCAATGAATGAATGAACTACCACCCCACACAGAATTATACAAATAATTCCATAAAGAACTCTCTCTTCAAAATCAATTCTAATTATTTTATGAAAAAAGAAAAGAAATTTTTAAAAAATTCATATGAAAATCATCTCATCAATCTTATCACGAATATTCTTCTTCTTCTTAATTCTTTAATATTTACTCTATTTATTTATTCATTATTTATTCATCATAGAATCATTAACCAAACAACAAACAAACGATAAATAAATCAATGGAATCGTGTTACGAATAAACATTTTTATCATGACAACAAGCACACACTTGCCAAAAAAAACTACTGAAACTAAAGAAGATTTTCCCACGACCAAAAATTTTTCAAGAGCTTTTTTAATTAATTTATTCAGCAAAAATTTTCATAATTTTAAGCCCAAAACAACAACAACAGACACTTATCAGATAAAAATAAAACACTTTTCTTCATTTCATTGCTTGCTTGTCTGAATCTAAACAAAAACTTTGTACTTTTTCAAGATTAATTTATTTCTATTTCAAACATTGAATTCAAATAAATGAAAAAAATTTTCAAAACAAAACATAAAAATAGATTCATTTCAATTCAACATTTCTTTTCATTTTTTGGGAAAAATAATTGGAAATGAATTCAAAAAAAAAGTTGATGAATGACAAGTGGATCTGTGTGATGGAATCTTTTTTATTATTGTGGTTATTTTTGTCCAATTTTTCTGTTTTCTTCTATATGGTCAATGAACACAATGATGATGATGATGGTCGTCGTCATTGAATAAAAGAAAAACCCGTTGCACCATTGTTGGATGGAAAAAAAAGAAAAATCAAAATCAAAACTGGTATCTTTGTTGTTGTTGTTATTTTCTCACCACAGTTTTTTGGTTTTTCTTCTTGGTTTTTTTTGATGGATTTATAATTGGCCAACAACCAAAACAACAACAACAATGAAAACCAAAAAAAGTAAGTAAATCTTTTATAATTCAAAAACATTTCTTTATCTCATCATCACATTTTTATTTTTAAATTTCTGGATTTTTCTTTGGTTTTTTTTCTCTCTCTCTCTCTTGGTTATTCATTTCTTGCCATTGATGATGAATGAATATCTCTCGATTGTTGTAACCTTCAACTTGACATAGATCATTTCATTTCATTATTTTTTTGGGTCAGTTTCATTTTTAGGGTTTTCTTCTTTCATTGGTTGGTTATATAAAGATCAAGATTCATTCATTTCATTTTAAATTTGAAAATTTGGTAGCTAAGCTAACTAAGCTAACCAAGTTTCACAATAATGATGATGATTCAAAACATTTTCAAACTTAGATGTCTGATATTATCGATAATAATTTCAATGATTTTAATCATTGAAATTAATGCCAGCAATAATAATGTTAAAGGAAGCAACATCAAAGGAAATGGAATATATCGACCACCATCCAAACAAAATATAATGAAGATAATGACAACGAAAAAACCTCAAGGTAAGATTTTCAAATGAGATTTTATTCCGTTTTGATTGATTGATTTGTTCCATTATAACAAATGTAGAAGAAATTTATGATCATACAGAGATTACACCGATGAGAAATGAAGAAAATGTTGATAATAACACCGAAGAAGATACTGAAGATGATAATGATCGAATTGAATCTGAACCAAGCATAAATAAACGTATACCAATATCAATATCGGATATTGAACAACAACGTATCGATAATGATGATCAAGGCAAACATTCAATAATAGGACGTCGTTTATTGAAACGTTCATTGAACATGATGATGATGAAAAATTCTGAATCAAAATCAAAAATTGATAAAAAACATAATCAAGATGATGATGAATCAACCAAATCGATAGATAATAATAATAATAATGATAATGATCAACAACAGAATTGGTGGGCAAGAAAAGATTTACGATTAAGAAAATTACAGAAAAAATTAGATCAAGAAGAAAGACAAATGATGGAATTAATGTATGGATTTTCACTTTGATCAAACAAACAACGATGATGAACGATGGACAAAATATTGCATATTCATTTCAGGAAACATTTCAAATTCCTAAACAGAATCTTTTTGTATGCAGATTTTCTGTCTTTTCATTATTTCGCAAAAACAACGACAACAACAAAATAAGAGAAAAAAAACTACATTATTATCGACATTACTTTTATATACTTTGTATATTTATTATTATTATTATTCAAAATGAAAATAAAAATCTATTTTGATGAATTTACTTTTAGTTTTTGTTCTTCAGGATGCGATAAGAAAATGAAAAAAAAAGTTAAGTGAACGAAAAAAATTGATTTTCAGCAAACAACAACGACCGACCGGAATCAACTGGAAAACTTAGCTCAACAACTTAGGTAAATAAATGAAAATGAAAATGATTCTCATTGAATAATTTCTTTTATTTCATTTCTCTTGAAATGAAATGAAAATATTCAACAAATAAGAAGAATTCCTTTGTTCAGAATCAAGTTTTTTTTTCGCTTGTTTGCTTATTCTGGTTCAGAATGCTGATTGAATATTCAAAATATTCAATATGACTATCACACACACATCACATTCAATATTCATCATTTTCCAGGGAAAAAGAACCCAAAAAAAGAAGAATAAGTTTTGAAACAAAAGAAAAGAATTTCGTGAACATAATGATAATGAGAATGTAAATGATGATAAAATTAGATCATCATCATCATCATCAATAACAACATCTATGTAAGAATCCGAAAAATGAATGAATGAATAATGAACATTAGGAATCCGCCTGGTTAGAAAATTAGCTAAATTAAACCTATCCATTCATCATTCATTCATTCATTCATCCATCATAAGATTTAATAGCCAAATGACCATTATAGCCAAAAAAAAAACATTAACATTTTTATGTTGAAATTAAATGTGAAAAAAATTCTCGACTTTAATGATGATGATGATTAGCTTGATTGCCTGGACAATGGATTCATAAATCATTTATTCAAAGTTTTTTTTTGTTTTTGTAAATAAAATTTTGTTACAAATTTTTGATCTAATCATCATCATCATCATTGGTGATAATAATTATTTATTTATAATACAGTTGTTGTTAAGTTTAAAGAGAAAAGAATCATTTCGATTTTGCTCAATTTCTTCTGCGGATATTAATAAAATAATGTTTACATGTTTTATTCGGGTGAATTTTGTCTTCGAACGTTTTAGTTTTTTTTATTGTTGTTGTTGTTGTTTCATAGGACATCTAAAAGAAAGAAAGAAAGAAAAAAAGATGAAAAAGAAACCTAAAAAAAAGTTCACTTCTTACCATTCGAATGCAATGATGATGTATTATTATATTTTTGGTAGTTGTTGTTGTTGTTGTGGAGATAATTTTTCATCTTGAAAAAAACTGAAATTTTCTTTTTTTTCGGGGATCTTTGGAATCTTCTTTTTGTTGTTGTTGTTGTTGTGATGGCGGTGTTTTTTTCCGCATCTTTTTTATTATTTTTTTGATCCAATTTTTTTTTCTGTTGGCACCCAACATTCGAATGGTCCGTACACTCACACACGCACAATAGTTATCATTTTAGTGCATTTTTTTCCTCCCTCCTCTCTTCTCCAGTGAATCACCCCCCTCTCTCCATTCGAACATTATTCATTTTATGAAATTTTTTTTTCCTGGAATTTTGATCATTATAGGAGGGAGGAAAAGCAGAGCAAAGGGGAGGGAAGGAAGATGGAACTTCTTTTTTGGTAATGTTCGAAATGAAAATTATCTTATCTTTTTGATCAAAAAAAAAATTATAATTGCAAAGATATTTTTGCTCTGATTTTTGATTTAATATTTTCAAAGAAAATTCTTGTTTTTCCAATTCGTGTTACAGAAAAAAAATAAGTTTTTCTTACGTTCAACATTAAGTATTCATGTTATTTGTTTTGTTTATTTATTTTTGATTATCAAAATTCTTATGGTTATTTCAAATCAAAAAAAAAAACCATTTCGCCAAAAAAAGAAAAACACACGATGATAGATGTTTGGGCCAAAAAAAAGCCAAAAATTTAATATTCTTTTTTTGCGATCATCATTTTGTTTATATGCTTTTTTTTGTTTCGACAATATAAAAAAACATTGAAACAAAAAAATCAAACCGATAAAACAAATGTGATAAGAAAAAGTGACGTGTGTTATTTTTGTTTTAAGAAAAATGAATTGAATGTTGAAACAGACAAAGACAGAATAAGAGAAAATTCAATTTCTAAAATTGAATTCTTATGAAAACGGCAAAACATGAATGAAACATTATTTTTCTATTTACAAGAATCTTCATCATCTTCCTCCATCAAAACCATCGTTATGTAAGATAAATAAATATTATTTTACAGCAAAAATGATGGCAACATTATGATGATAAATATTATCATCAACACCGAATCACCATCATCATTATTTCTTCAAGATAAAATCAAATCACATTACACGCCAAACATTCTCAATTCATAAAATAAAATAAACAAAAATTCCTAATAAAGAAAATGCAATTCTCTTGCCTCTCAAGTTTTGATTTTAGACTTGAAAACTTTTTCTCTGTGATTTAATTTGATTCAATTTTTTTTTGTATATTCTCCTTATTATTCACCTTATGTGTGTGTGTGTTTTGATATTTCGTTTTTTTTTTCATTTTAATTTAGTTCAGTAAACGAAGAAAACTTACTTATTAAAAAATATGTTTCATCGCCGTTCATTCATTTTTTGTTGCCCAAAATCATTTTCTTTCCTTCATTTCAATATTGATTAATCATCAATTTTTTGTTGATTTTTGATTAGATCAATACATTTTTTTTGATGATAATGCTAATTATAATTATAAATAATAATCATCGTTATTAACTTATTATTACAGATTCTGTTCAAATTCCATGATTATTATTATTATTATTTTGATTATTATTAACCATCCATCCATCTTTCTTTTTCATATGTAAGCAACGGAAATAAGCAAAAAGAAAAAAACTTCTGCTGCAAAAATAATAATCGTCATCTGAAGAATGTGAACCGAAAACATTCGATTCAATGGGAAAAAAAGTATATGCAGAATAATAATAATCATTTGAAGAAAAAACATCATACAATTTGACAATAATAGAAAGAAAGAAAGAAGAGAAGAAACATAACAAAAGAAAGAATAAAGTCCGGAAAGAAATTTCCAAATGTAGAATTACTATATTTTTTTCTACTTTGTAAAGCTAAGTTTTTTTTGAATACATAGGAATTGAAATCGATCGGCAACGAAAAAGTTTTTCTTATTCTCTGTGTCTGTGTCTGCCTGATTCTCTATTTTTTTTTTCACTTTCGCATTAGCGATTTGTATGATTATTTTATAAATATAATTTCTTTTTTTGTTCGTTGGAAACAAAAAAAATGAACAAAAAACTATATATAATTATCAAGTGTTGAATCGTTGATCATCTCTATCGTTTTGGATAATCGATTTATGAATGGCATGGACTAAACAACCAAAATGAAAAACTTGTCTGTCTTCAAATTGGTTCTTCTTCATCAATTAATTAATTGATCGATTCATAAAGAAGAAGATATTAGTAGAAAAAAATGTCAAAATGCGTTTCCATACATAAAACACAAGGCAAAAAACAGATGGAATTTTTTTTCATACCCAAAACAGCAAAAAAAATCTCGAAAAAAGACATTCCTTTTCGTTAACATAATCGATAATTTCTTTGTTTTGTTGAAAACATTGTAATATTTTGGGTTTTAATCCGTATTTAATTTCAAGCATTTCAATGCAGCTTTTCAGTACAATTTTATATTTTCATAATTATGGTTTTTCAATGGAATTTTTTAATACAGAATTTTTCTTTGGAATAAAATATCAAATAACGCATGTGTCAATTATCGTCATTGTCATCATCATTCGTCGTTAACTTCAATAATGTCGCAACACACAAACAAAAATAGAATCCTTCTCTCTCTATAGAAAACAAAAAAGATTCTATATAAAAGTTCAACCAAAGAATTTACCACTTCCTTTGATGATGATATTAATAATAGAAGAAGAAGAATTCTACAGTCATTTTCCACACTTGTTATTTCGATTCTATACAAACAACTTTACAATCAACAACAATTCTATCAATAGAATCACAAACAAGAATCGAAAATTGACTGTAAAAATGTCGTCTTGGATATTATTTTTTAACGTATACGAAAAAAAAGAAAACAGAACGAGATTGAAAATGAAATGAAACAAAGAATCAGTCCATAGGAAAACCAAACCAATCGATTTCAATCTCTGACATCAAAACACACACACACAACAAAACAAAACATAACTTTATCATTTTTTTTCTTCTGTGTGTTGGGTGTTTATGAAGTTTCTTCTGTTTCTTGTGTCTTTTGTGATGTCAAATGCAAATGCATTCTTCTTGTTTGTTTGTTTGTTTGTTTGTTTGTTTGGTCGATTATCGTTTGGTCAGTTCATCAATTTTTTTTCTTCTTCTTCCTTACACACATAGTAGAATTCAAGCATTTGATCATCATCCTCATCAATTTTTTTGAAGTTGTTTTTGTTTTGTTTTGTTTTTCTGTTCAGTTTTTGTTTTTTTGTTTTGTTGGTTACAGGAACCACTTCAAATCCTTCCATTCAAACAAAAGTAACAAGGGTAAGTATCAAGAAAAAAAACAATCTATATTTGGATTACTTTGATATTCAAACTTTTTTTTTTTTTTTGTTTCCATCGTTCTTCACATATCTTATGAAGTTTTTTTTCGGAAAAAAAAATCCAATAATAAAATAATTTCAGGCATGATTAATTCGATCGACAACAACAACAACGATGTTTTTTACACTTTGTTTTTTTTTTCGCAAATATTTTTTCAAATTGGTTTTTTTTGCGTTTATTGCAACAAATTGAGAGAGAAAAAAAAAAGTTAAAAGTTTTTCAATTTTTTTTCCAATATCGCAATTCAGTGTGTTTTTTTGTTTCTGGTACATTTCACATTTGCCCAGAAAACAACAGAATTGATGATAAAAAACCAAAACAAAACAATGCTGGGCGAAATGAACCGAATAAGAAATTGTTTTGGAAAAAAAAATT